TGATTCTTTGATATAGCTACTGATGCTATTCCAGCTTCAATAGGACAGCCTCATCATGGTACTCCAGATGGAGCCAGACAACTAGGTAAAACTATACCATGATAGGTACAATAATAATCTATCCTGTATTGGCGTTCATAGATGCAGAGGATGTTGATAAAGTACTTATAGTGCTAGATAAAGTATTCTTTGGTGCAGCAAAATGGAATGACTTGGGGCTTCGGTTAGGTCTGTATCAGCCAAAACTCAATGTCATTGCAGACGGTGGTGGCGATGCATACAGGCACTTGAGGAAGACTATAGAAGCATGGCTAGATGGTGAAGATAAAGCAAAAATTAGAACATGGCAGACTTTGATAGATGCAGTGAGGGGAACAGGGAATCGTGCAGCTGCTGAAAAAATACCTCAAAAACTGAAAGAACTTTATAACATTACTGTTTAAGAGTGAAGTACATGTTAAGTTTAATAGTGTTAAGAATAAAACCACAGGTAAATCAACATAAAACAAGGAAGATATTTGAGCCTGTCTAGTGTCTACCCAAAAGTCTATACCCACACAAAGGCTGGCTACACAAGACTCTGGCCTTGTCAATTTCATTATTTATTTTGTACATCACAAAACCACAAAATATGTAAAGTTGTACATGTACAGTAGATCTAACCTTAGGAAATGTTCAGTGCACATGGTCATTGTCTCGGCAGCTCCTTCTGATGTGGTCATTACTTTATTATGATCATACCATTTATTGCCTTATACATCTTTCCTTAATGTAATAGTGAAATGCTTTTATAATCCTACATAAACAATTAAATAAATACTATTAATAAAATTTCTTAGTTCTTACAATGCAATCTACTATTTTCCAAAAATTAATTTAATTTAATTTAAGGCGTGGTCATTTTTGGGCGTGGTCCCTAACATTGGGCGTACTCCATTAAAAAACTGGGGACCTCCCTTACCTGTCCTGTCTGTCTTTCTCTTTCTTTCAAAGATGGTTGATTTCTTTCGTTCAGCAATGAGTTACCTCAGTGGTGAGGGAGACGTAGGAGGAGGCAGTGGCGGTGGAAACGCTTTTGTGGGACAAACTGTTGACATTGGAGACGGAATGAAACTTAAAGTTAAAAAAGTTATAGCTGAAGGTAGACCCTCTTCTCTCTCCCTCTTCTCTCTCCCTCTCTCTCCTTCACTCCTCTCTCCCTTTCCAGGTGGCTATGGGTTTGTATTTGTTGCTCAAGATACAAGCACTGGAATTGACTACGCACTAAAGGTAGTTAACTACTAATTACTACTTGTACATGTACATGTACATACATAATGAGGTGCATGCCTTCAAAAATTCTTTTTCAACACTTTTAGAGGCAGATAGTAGCTTCGGAAAACATTAAAGCAATCAAGCAAGAAATAACATTTTTAGTAAGTTAATGAATTAAATATGTGCATACATGTACATGTACTTTTAAACTCTCTCTGTCTCTCTGTCTCTGTCTCTGTCTCTTTTAGACTCAATTGTCTGGCCATCCTCATATAATTAATTTCATTGGTGCCGCTAGTTCTAAGGATCCAGCTGGAGGGAGTGCAGAGTTCCTTATTGTAACTGAACTCATTACCGGTATGAATAAAAAACAGTTTTATTGTTATTGTTGTTTTATTATGGAGCAAC